GAAGGTGTGGTGGGAAACCTAGGCCTGGACGTGCAGGGATTCAGGAGGTGGAGCTGGTTTGACCCCAGAGAACCAACCTTGGGTGTTTTTCCCACGGCTTTTATTTATTTATTTTTCTTCCTCTTCAAAGAACACTTGAGAGCTGACAGAAAAGGTGGAAGAATTCTACACTGACAGTGCATACGCCCGCCACCTAGACTGAACAATCGACAGTTTTACCATGTTGGATTATCTACCCTATAGCTATCCATCTATCCAGGTAGCGATCCACCTTTTTAAATTTTTTTTTCAACGTTTATTTATTTTTGGGACAGAGAGAGAGACAGAGCATGAACGGGGGAGGGGCAGAGAGAGAGGGAGACACAGAATCGGAAACAGGCTCCAGGCTCTGAGCCATCAGCCCAGAGCCTGACGCGGGGCTCGAACTCACGGACCGCGAGATCGTGACCTGGCTGAAGTCGGACGCTTAACCGACTGCGCCACCCAGGCGCCCCAACGATCCACCTTTTTAAAAAGTGTCCTTCCAAGTTGCAGCCGTCAGCGTATTTCCCTGTTATGGAAGCATGCAGGATCGGTACCAGTGACATTCAGATAGCACAGGACCAGTGGCAGTGCTTATCTCTGCTCAGCCATCCCGAGTCCAAAGCAAAAGCAAAATATCAGCGATAAGGATCCTGTCTTGATTTCACATTTTATTATTTTGTTCATGTTATTTTGAACATTATGGTGCAGGCTTAAATCTTGATATTGATTTATTATGTATTTGTGTGTGTGTGTGTGTGTGTGTGTGTGTGTGTGTTGGCTCCATGCCCAATGTGAGGCTTGAGCCCAAGACCCCGAGATTGAGGGTCACATGCTCTACTGACTAAGCCAGCCAGGTGCCCCTGAATTTTGATCTTTAAAATAGTGCATCAAGGGGTGCCTGGGTGGCTCAGTCGATCGAGCCTCCAATCCTTGATGTCGGCTCAGGTCATGATCTCGTGCTTTGTGAGATCAAGCCCTGCGTGGAACTTTGTGCTGACGGCATGGAGCCTGTTTGTGATTCTCTCTCTCCCACTGTCTCTTGTCCCTCACCAGCTCACCCATGCATGCGCTCTCTCTAAATAAATAAACATTAAAAAATTAAAAAAAAAATCGTGCATCAAATATCTCATTGAATTTTTTTGCACCGTCTTAAACTTTGCTCTCTGAGCAAATGCTTCACTTGCCTCATGCTCATCCCAGTCCTAAGTGTGAGGTAGGGCTTGGGAGAGGAGTTCGACTTCCTTCCTAGAGGTTTGGAGTGAATCTGTTCAAGAGCCTGGCTATGACTCATCCCAGAGTGATGCTGTGGGTACCATCTCTGCCAGTTGTGGGGTCGAAGAGGGGCCAGGAGGGGAGAGACCTCTAGCCACAAACGCCCAGCAGGGTGGTCCAGCAGCGTTAAGGGTCAAGCTCTGGAAGGGGATGGGGAGGGGAGGAGCTTTACACCCGCCGGCAGCTCCAAATAACACTCCGTGGGTGGGATGGAAACAGGGCATACAGATGCAATTGTTAAGATAAGGTCAGGATGGGCCCTTCATTCAATATGACTGGTGTCCTTACAAGAAGAGGAAAAGAGATACACACACAGGGAGAATTCCATGTGACGGTGGAGGCGGAGAGTGGAGTGGTGCGTGTACAAGCCAAGGACTACAAGCGACACCCAAATATAAGATAAAGGCGTGGAACAAATTCTTCCTTAAAGCCGTCAGAAAGAGCATGGCTCTGTCCACACCTTCTTTGGGACTTCCGGCATCCAGAACTACGAGAGAATACATTTCTTCTGTTTTCAGCCATTCCTAGTGGTACTTTATTATGCCGACCCTAGGAAATGAATACAGTAGGCTTCTGATCTATTTTCTTCTAGTCATTTCTATGGGCAAATAATTACCACCATAGATTTTGTCTAGTGCTGTGTTGTACAACAGAGTAGCCACCAGCTACATGGGGCTATTTAAATGCGAATGTAGGGGTGCCTGAGTGGCGCAGTCGGTTAAGCGGCCGACCTCAGCCGGGTCACGATCTCGCGGTCCGCGAGTTCGAGCCCCGCGTCGGGCTCTGGGCTGATGGCTCGGAGCCTGGAGCCTGTTTCCGATTCTGTGTCTCCCTCTCTCTCTGCCCCTCCCCCGTTCATGCTCTGTCTCTCTCTGTCTCCCAAAAATAAATAAACGTCGAAAAAAAAACTTTTTAAAAAAATAAACGCAAATGTAAATTTAAATTAAATTAAAAATCAGCTCCTCTGTTGCACTACTCACATGTGGCGCATGCATTAGACACTGCAGACTAGAACATTTCCATCATGGCAGAAAGTACTATTGGATAGCATTAGTCTAGCGTGTCCATTTTCTCCTGCAGTAATGCTGCGTGGCAACCCAGAATTTCAGTGGAGAACAAGCATTTTGTTGCTGTTCATGGATCCACGGGGCAGCCCAACTGTAGATTATGGGTCAACTTGGACTTGGCTCTAGGCTGCAGTTTGGGTTTGGGTCTGCTCCATGCATTTTCCATCCTCTTCACACTCCGGGCATGTTCTTCTTATGACTAACAGCAGGAGTGCAAAGAGGGCAGTCTAAACCACAAAGCACACTTGAAGCCTCTGCTCAGATCACATTTGTTTAGCGCTGCCTGAACGCAAGCCACGTGGCCAAGCCCAGTATCAATGTTTATAGCGAGAGGCCCTACAAAGTTACATGGCAGGTGGTATGGATTATAATCTTATTATATGGGAGTGGAGAACCAGACACGAGAATCCAGTCTACCTTACTTATACACAGTGCTTTTTTTCCCCCTGAAAAAGTAATACATTCACATGGCTAAAAATGTTTTAAAGTATGCTGTGAACATTTTCCCCATACCTGACCCACCCACCTTGGCTCCTCTCTTTGTAAGTATACTCTTATATTAGTTTCTTGTCTATCTGTATGAAAATACAAGCAAATCCATATATATTTGTCCCCACCCTTTCTTCAAGGTAGTTTACTATACACTGTGCTGCTTTCACTTACTTCTTTTAAAAATAAATCTTGAAGTTTTTCCCATGTTAGTATACATAAATGCAGCTCTTTTTTTTTTAATTTTTTTTTAACATTTATTTATTTTTGAGACAGAGAGACAGAGCATGAACAGGGGAGGGGCAGAGAGAGAGGGAGACACAGAATCTGAAATGGGCTCCAGGCTCTGAGCTGTCAGCACAGAGCCTGACGCGGGGCTCGAACTCACGAACCGTGAGATCATGACCTGAGCCGAAGTCGGATGCTTAACCGACGGAGCCACCCAGTGCCCCATAAATGTAGCTCTTGAACTTACATTCACTTATATTTACTGTTCTCTGTGTTCTGCTTATCCCTGCTTTCTCAGTTTAATGACTGATGAGATACTTTCAGATACTTTCAGATGAGATAATGGGTTTGCTTTGGAAGGCAACACCCTTAATCTGACTTTGCCACTAGGCTGGGTCTCAGTTTGGCCTAGAAGAGTTCACAGAGATTTTGAGAAAAGTTTAAGGTTTCATCTCTTGCTGAAAATGTTACCATTAAAAAAAATTTTTTTAATGTTTATTTATTTTTGAGAGAGAGAGCGAGAGAGCGAGAGAAAGGGGACAGAGGATCCAAAGTGGGCTCTGCACTGACAGCAGTGAGACCCATGCGGGGCTCAAATTCACAAACTGTGAGATTATACCTGAGCCGAATTTGGACACTCAACCAACTGAGCCACACCCAGGTGCCCCAAAACGTTACCATCTTTTATTAACTAACTTGCTTTTTTCAATTTCTTTTTTTTTTTAATGTTTGCTTATTTTTGAGACAGAGAGAGACATAGCATGAATGGGGGAGGGCCAGAGAGAGGGAGACACAAAACCCGAAGCAGGCTGCAGGCTCCGAGCTGTCAGCACAGAGCCCGATGCGGGGCTTGAACTCAGGACTGCGAGATCATGACCTGAGCCGAAGTCGGCCGCTCAACCGACTGAGCCACCCAGGCGCCCCTAACTTGCTTTTTTCTCTCAAAGTTGCAGGTTCCAGACCTGAAAGCGTACAGTCAAGGGATGTGCTTTTAAACGTTTTTATACCCCTAGCTGGGAGAAATGGGGCAGGGGAGAGCTTGCCCAATCCTTTTAGAGCTAAACTGGAAGGGAGGTGTCACATTATCTCCACTCCCACCCCCACTGGCCAGAATTTAGTCACAAAATCATACTAGATGAAATTTTGAGGGAGTTATACCACTAAAAGGAAGAGAGAATGTATATATTGAGAATCAATTAGTCCTTTTCTCAGTCTTTGAGGTCTCAGTGAGAGGGCTATGGGAGTTAGTAATAATAAATAATTGAATTATTTAATAATGAATCTATTAAAAGAGTTCATATTGTATTACAAAAGCCTACACACAGGAAAGTGCACAAATCGTAAGTGGACAGTTTGATGAATTTTCACAAACTGAAAGTGTGTACGTAGCGAGCTCCCTGGCCAAGAAATTGAACACTGTCAATACCCCCGAGTTTGTTTCCCTGACGGCTGGGCTAAGGGCTTCGTAACTCTGTGGAGGCGGAGCCAAGGGCGATTGAAGGTGAGTTACCCGGGAAATGGGGGTGTGACTAAGAGAAAAGGCGGGGCCTGAAGTAGTTTAGGGACAGGTTCTGGAGGCCCGGAAGGGGCGGGGCCTGGTGGCGTTACGCACCCGGGGCGGGGCTAACTGTCTGGCGTCCCGGCTGGAGCGAAGGGGCGTGGCCAGACCGGATGTTGGGGGCGAGGTTAAGCAAAGGCGGGACTTCGAGGCCAGGATGGGCGAGGCCTAGCGATCCCAAAGGCCGCCCGGGTCGCTAGGGGCGAGTTAGGCGAAAAGACTGGCGGGGTTTCGTGAGGGGAGGAAGCTTGGGAGCAATCGTCACGCACGGGGCGGAGTCTCGTGTCGTCTGGGCGGGCATTGCGGTGAGGGGCGGGGCTTCGCGTCGTTTGGGCGGACGTTGCGGCAAGGGGCGGGCACAGCGCGCGCGTTCCAAGATGGCCGCGGCCAGTGCGGCCGGACCGGTAGGGAATGTGTTCCCGTTCCGCGATGCCCGCGCCGCGCCAGACCCAGTGCTGGAGGCCGGCCCGGAGGCACACGGGCCACTGCCAGTGCCACTGGTGCTGGACAACGGGTCGTTCCAGGCCCGCGCCGGCTGGGCATGCCCCGGGCCGGACCCGGGCCCCGAGCCGCGCCTGCAGTTCCGCGCTGTGTGCGCCCGCGGGCGTGGCGGGGCTCGGGGCGGAGCGGGCCCGCAGGTGGGCAACGCGCTTGGCAGCCTGGAGCCGCTGCGCTGGATGCTGCGCTCGCCCTTCGACCGCAACGTACCGGTCAACCTGGAGCTGCAGGAGCTGCTGCTTGACTACAGCTTCCAGCACCTGGGTGTCTCCTCACAGGTGAAGCGAGGGGGAGGTGGGTTGGGCTGGAGGGGAGGGGTGAGGTCTTGTGCCCGCGCATTTCGCTGAGAGGTCACTAGTGAGTAGTCACTAGGGTAACTGTAGCTCTCGTCATTTAGCTATTCCTTTCGTCTGTCGAGCAAATCTTAAGCGCCCAACGTGTTTAAGCCCTGTGCTGGGCTCTTGGGAAGTAGCAGCGGACTGAACAACGGTCCTGTTCTCTTGCAGCATACCTTCGGGCATAGGTGCTCATTCGTTGATAAGTTCATTCATTGAGCACCTACCTACTCTGTGTCAGGCACTTTTCCAGGCGTTTGGAATACATCCATGAATGTAACACAAAATTACTTACGCTATGGAGCTAGAATGGAAAGGCATTCTAGTATGAAAAGGCAGCCAATAAACAATAGAATTAAGTAGTAGATTCTGTGGCATGGTAGGAGGAGGGGGGGGGCGGTTCACGTCTTTTCGGATGGTCAGGGTAGGACTCAGGGAGAAGGGGATGTTCAAGCAAGGATTGAAGGAGGTGATTGAGGGAGCAAGCCATGGGAATATCTGAGGGAATAGTATTCCAAACAGAGGGAACAGCCAGTGAAAAGGCCCTGAGGGAGAAGTGTGCCCTAATCCTAAGTGAGAGCAGCTAGAGTGAGAGGAGAGTAGTTAAAGTGGAGAGGAAGTCACAAGTGATGAGGGGCAAATCACACACCTTATAGGCTTTTACTCGGAGTGTAACGAGGAGCCATTGCAGGGTGTTGAGCGGAGGAGGGACATGACTTATGCTCCAGAAGGCCCGCCGTAGCTGCTGTATGAAGAATGGACTGGCATGGGTCATAGGGTAGAATCAGGAGACCAGTTAGGAGACCATTGCAGTCACCCAAGTGAGTGATGATGGTGACTAAGGTGAAGGTCAGGGGAGGGGGATGTGGCAAGAAGCAGTTTGATTCTGGAGGTATTTTGAAGATCGAGCCAATATGATTTGCTGACAGTCTGGTTGGGGCTTGACTTAATAACTTTCGATTGGCCGTACTTTCATATTCTCCAAAAACAACCTCCAGTAGAGATGAGCGTTTTACAGTTGCTTCTGGCCAGGTGTTTGAAGACCGAAAGCAAATTCAGTCTTTACAGTAGGCCTTTGGTTTCTTTTATTCTTTAGGAAGAGTATTCTTTTGTTAGTGGTCTGTTCTCTCTTTTCTTTCAAAGTAGGGCTGTGTCGATCATCCCATAGTTTTGACAGAAGCTGTGTGCAACCCGCTGTATTCTCGACAAATGATGTCCGAGCTTCTTTTCGAGTGCTATGGGATTCCTAAGGTTGCCTATGGAATAGACAGCCTCTTCAGCTTCTACCACAATAAGCCAAAGAACTTGATTTCCAGCGGGCTCATCATTTCATCTGGATACCAGTGTACCCATATTTTACCCATCTTAGAAGGGAGGTGAGTAGCACTTAGGGCACTGGAGAAGCATTCAGGAAACATTTGTTGGGTGCCCACCTTAAAGGTGGGGTGGAAAGAACAAGTATTGGACTGGGAACTAGCCTCTGGCCTTGGCTCTGACATGCTTCACTATGTGACTTCAGGTAAGTCACTTCACCTTCCATCCTTTGTGACCTGGAGGGAGTTGTTGTAGATGGTCTTCGAAGTCCAACTCCATAATTGTAGAATTTTACTATTTTGATTATGGCAAGATAATCACCTGCAAGTAGCAAGTGCCCATAAAAAAACGTTTTGAAGAAATTATTTGAATAATTTAAATGGCCTTTCTGTTCTGGAGTCACTTTTTTATTGAGGGGTTATTTTTTTAGGGGGGGAGGTTCTGGGTTTTCAGGTCAGTCACGACCCCAGGGTTGTAGGACCAAGCCCCACATCAGGTTTCACACTGAGTGTGGGGCCTCCTTAGGATTCTTTCTCTCTCTCTCCCCCCCGCACCTCTCCTCCACTCATGCTCTCTCTAAAATTTAAAAAAAAAGAGAAAAAGGTTATTTTTTAATTTAAAGCTCTTTAATCACAGTTGGTTAGTACTTTTCAGGTACAGTGCCTGGCACGTAATATAGATACTTATTAAATATTTCCAAGTTGGATAAAAGGTGAGGGTAGTTTCTCTCATTAAAAAAAAAAATATATATGTATTTATTTATTTATTTTGAGCTGGAGAGAGGGGCAGAGAGAGAGGGAGAGACAAATCCAAAGCAGACTCCATGCTATCAGTGCAGAGCCTGATGTGGGGCTCGAACCCATGAACTGTGAGATCATGACCTAAGCCGAAGTCAGACCTTAACTGACTAAACCACCCAGGTGCCCCAGTTTCTGTCATTTTTAGACCAGTTTTCATTTTATAGTTGGGCTTTCATTGTTGGAGAAGAGACTAGGCCAGCATCGTGCTCTCGGGAGAAGGTTTCTTATTGCATACAGAGGGGAAGTAGGGAGCAGAGTCCTGGCTTTGGAGTTAAATGCCTGGGTTTGTGGCCCTGCTGAGGATGAGGTTATTTACCCTCTCCACTTAGCCTCTTCTTAACACGTAAAATTGGGAAAAACTAATTTTTCAGGGTTACTCTGAGGATGAAGTGAGATAAATGTAGGTGATGGCACTTCGGGAACTGTAAAAGAGTCTGAGTATTTAAGTCAAAATAAATGTTGAATTTATTGAGACCTATAGTGGTAATTTCTCTTGAAGTTTCTACAGACATTTATGAAGATAGAAGTATTTATTTTACACGTTACCAAACACTCCTTATATTTGGAATTTTTTTTATTTTATGTAAACAGAATGTACAGAAAAGTATTGAGAGAAAAGTGTTTTACCTGAAAGTTAAGACACGATCACATTGGAGCCTGTCCTGTTCTATGCTGGCATCTGCTGGTGAAGCGTGATATAGCAAAGACTTTGCAATTGCGGCAAGATCCTAGTGTCCTGCTACCCTTTCTCACATTAAGAAAGAGGCTATTCTGATTTCTCTTCCCCTTCACAAGATGTGGAAGGGACCTGGTCCTTTCAGGAGGTTACAGTAAGCCAGTATGTGCGTGGTTACTTAATGTGTATGCATCAGCAGAAGTGGAGTGTCCAGGGGAGGGTTCTCAAACTCTAGCCTATGTTAGACTTACCTAGAGAGCTTGTTAAATAAAATGCATACTCCCAGCCCTACCCCAAAGCAAATGAGTCCCGGGAATCGGCACGTTTAACATTTCCCCCAGCTAATTCTACCAGGACCGCAGTTTGAGAAATGCATGACGAGCCACATAAGGGTCTGACTTCAGAGTACATATTCTTCCCGTTGAACCTTGTTTCCTTGTGACACCCTTGCCAGAAGTTAGATGCCACGTGTCTGGGTGTGGACTAGGAATTCCTGCACTGAGTCAGAGGCTGAATCGAGGGAACTTCAGAGTCCCTTCATCTCTAAAGTTTTCTGTTCCCCCGGCTGCTCTGTCTCTTCCTTGTTCATCTGCATTGTCACCCTCCCCCCGAGCCCCCCACGAAGTGTTCCCTGTCCTTTCTCCCATGTTGCCACAAATTTCAGTACTCTTTTCCATTCCTTGCTTATAGGTTAGATGCTAAAAACTGCAAACGCATCAATCTGGGGGGAAGCCAAGCAGCTGGCTACCTCCAGCGTCTCCTGCAGCTGAAATACCCTGGGCATCTGGCAGCCATCACTCTGAGCCGCATGGAGGAGATCCTGCACGAGCACAGCTACGTTGCTGAAGATTATGTGGCAGGTAATGGAGACGGCCTCTGTTTGTGGCATTTGTTTATTTATAATTTTTTCAAAGAGTTTTTAATTTTTTTTTTTAACATTTATTTTTGAGACAGAGAGAGACAGAGCATGAACAGGGGAGGGTCAGAGAGAGAGGGAGACACAGAATCTGAAACAGGCTCCAGGCTCTGAGCAGTCAGCACAGAGCCCGACGCGGGGCTCGAACTCATGAACCGCAAGATCGTGACCTGAGCCGAAGTCGGACGCTTAACTGACTGAGCCACCCAGGCGCCCCTCAAAGAGTTTTTAAAAACTGTTGATTATTTTTGAGAGTGTGTGAGCAAGCATGAGTTGGGGAGGGGCAAAGAGAGAGGGGGAGAGAATCCCAAGCAGGCTCCATGCTGTTGGTGCAGAGCCAGGTGCAGGGCTCGGACCTCGTGAACCGCGAGATCATGACCTGGTGAAATCAAGAGTCAGATGCTTAATCCACCGAGCCACCCAGGCGTCCCTGCTTGAGGCTTTTAGATATTGTCTGTGTTCAGGGTGTTCCTTAAATCGTTTCCAGGATGACTCTCTTGCTCACTTTTTACTCTCATTAGCATCCCCTTTTCCTTTTGGTATTTACTTAAACTATTCAATAAACTGCTAACTTACATCTGTAGGTTTTTTTTTTTTTTTTTCAAAATGGTTTTGGCTATGTTAGTTCCTTTGCCTTCCCATATCAACATTAGGATTACGGGGGTGCCTGGGTGGCTCAGTCAGTTGAGTGTCTGACTCTTTTTTTTTTTTTTTTAATTTTTTTTTTTCAACGTTTTTATTTTTTTTTTATTTTTGGGACAGAGAGAGACAGAGCATGAACGGGGGAGGGGCAGAGAGAGAGGGAGACACAGAATCAGAAACAGGCTCCAGGCTCTGAGCCATCAGCCCAGAGCCCGACGCGGGGCTCGAACTCACGGACCGTGAGATCGTGACCTGGCTGAAGTCGGACGCTTAACCGACTGCGCCACCCAGGCGCCCCGAGTGTCTGACTCTTGATCCCAGAGTCGTGAGTTTCAAGCCCCAAGTTGGGCTCCCATGGAGCCTACTTAAAAAAAAAAAAAGTTAGGATTAGCTTCTTCATGTCTACAAAAATGTTCTTTTGGGATTTTGATTGAAAGTATATGAAATCTATAGATCAGGTGGGATATGAAACAACAGCATTTTTAATATAAACCCAAACATAGTATTAAGTCGAGATGTAACATTAAATGTAGATTGGGGAGAAGTGACATTTTGTACGATGCTGGATCTTCTACTCCATGAACATAGTAGGTCTTTCCATTGACCTCGGCCTTCATTGATTTCTTTCATCAGCATTTTGTAGTTTTTGACATACAGATCCTATACATGTTCGGTTAGATCTGTGTCTAAGTTTTTGCTTTTTTATTTCACTTTCCGGTGGCTCATTGTTCGTGTATAGAAGTGCAGTTAATTTTTATGTGTTGACCTTGTTAAATTTATTTATTTTTCGTTTTTTGTAGATTCCTTGGGAATTTGTCCATAGACATGTCACCTGTGAATAGGAACAGTTTTGTCTCTTCCTTTGCAATCTGTTTGCCTTTCTTTCTCTTTTTCTTATTTGACTGGCTGGACTTCCAGTACAGTGTTGAATAGGAGTGGTGATAGTGGGCATCCTTTTCTTGTTCCCAGTTCCTATTTTTGGCATGGTGGGGGGACATAGTCTTTCACTATTAAGTATATGATGTTGGCTTGAAGTGTTTTACAGATGTCCTTTATCAAGCTGAGGAAATTGCCTTCTGTTCCTAGTTTTAGTGAGCATTTTTATCATGAGTGAATTTTGAATGTTTTCTTTTTCTGCACCAGTTGATATGATCCTCTGGTGTTTCTGCTCTGGACTATTCATATGGGAGATTATAATGATTGCTTTTTGGATATTGAACTAGCATTGATTTGGGGGTGGTAGATGCCACTTGTTCATGTATATTTGTCTTTTTATATGTTGCTGGATTTGATTTGGTAATATTTTGTGGGGTTTTATGTCTATATTCATGAGGGATGTTGATCTGTAGTTTTCTTTTTTCTTGCTTTTTTTTTTTTTAATGTTTATTTTTGAGAGACAGAGTGCGAGTCGGGGAGGGGGAGAGGGAGAGGGAGACACAGATTCAGAAGCAGGCTCCAGGCTCTGAGCTGTCAGCCCAGAGCCCGATGCGGGGCTTGAACTCACAAACTGTGAGATCACGACCTGAGCTGAAGTTGGATGCTTAACTGACTGAGCCACCCAGGTGCCCCTAAAAAAAATTTTTTTTAATGTTTATTCTTGAGAGAGAGAGAGAGCGCGCGCGCGCGCGCTCAAGTGGGGGAGGGGCAGAGAGAGAGGGAGACACAGAATCCCAAACAGGCTCCAGGCTCTGAGCTGTCAGCACAGAGCCCGATGAGGGGCTCGAACTCAGGAACCATGAGATCATGACATGAGCTAAAGTCAGATGTTTAACAGACTAAGGCACACAGGTGCCCCCAAGATCATTCTTCTTGTAATATAAGCATTTAATGCTGCAAAATTTCCCTTTCAGCATTGCTTTGTCTACATTATACAGATTTTGTTATATTTTCATTTTCACTGAGTTCAGGTATTTTCTTTCTTTTTTTTAATTTGAGAGAGAAAGGACAACTAGGGGAGAGGGGCAGAAGGAGAGAGAGAGAGAGAGAGAGGGAGAGAGACAGAGAGAGAGAGAGAGAGAGAGAGAGAATCTTCAGCAGGCTCCACGCTCAGTACTCGGCCCAGTGCACGGCTCGATCCCATGATGCTGGGATCTTGACCTGAGCCACGGTGAAGAGTCAGATGCTCAACTGACTGAGCCACCCAAGCACCCAGAGTTCAGATATTTTCTTATTCCCCTCAAGACTTCTTTTTATGAACCATAGATTATTTGGAAATGTATTGTTTTATTGGGAGTACATCAAAATAAAAAGCTTCTGCACAGAGAAGAAAACAATCAACAAAACTAAAAAGCCACCCACTGAATGGGAGAAGATATTTGCAAATGACATATCTGAAAAAGGGTTAGTATCCAAATTATATAAAGAACTGATACAAGGCAACACCCAAAGCACAAATAATCCAATTTAAAAATGGGCAGAGTTTTCTTAAGTATTTAATGAAGATGAATTTTTTTTTTAAGTTTATTTATTTTGAGAGAAAGAGAGTGCAAGTTGGGAGAGAGGCGGAGAGAGAGGGAGAGAGAATCCCAAGCAAGCTCCACACTGTCAGCATGGAGCCCAACGCAGGGCTCAATCCCACAAACATAAGATCATAACCTGAGCTGAGATCAAGAGTCGGACGCTGAACCAACCGAGCCACCCACGCGCCACGGAAGTTGAATGTGTTCTATAATGTTAATTCAAATGAATATAACTTAAAATAATTGTTTCTCAGGGTTCCTGGGTGGCTCATTTGGTTAAACGTCTGACTCTTGATCTCAGCTCAGGTTATGATTTCCTGGTCGTGGGATCCAGTCACATGTGGAGTGGCTCAGCATGGAGCCTCCTTAAGATTCTCTCTCTCCTTCTCCCTCTGCCCCTTCCCCCATTCACATGACTCTCTAAAATAAAAAAAAATAAAATAGTTGCTTTTCATGTTTAAGTCTATTTTACAAAGTGAGTAATGTCTTACGTTATCCACACAGGATTCTTTAGAAGCGATTTCAGTTCATTTCTGTTAAAATGAAAAGATTTATATAATTTTTGTTTGATTTTATATATTTGAATGAGAAGGGTGATTTGTGTAAGGTTTTTAAAATGAAGAAGAGGGCAGAAGACATGAACAGACCTTTCTCCACAAGAAGACATCCAGAGGGCCAACTGACACGTGAAAAGATGCTCAACATCACTCATCCTCGGGGAAATGCAAATCAAAACCACAGAGAGATATCACCTCGTACCTGTCAGAATGGCCAAAATCAACAACACGAGAACAAGTGTTGGTGAGGATGTGGAGAGAAAGGAAGCCTCTTACACTGTTGGTGGCAATGCAAACTGGTGCAGCCACTGTGGAAAACAGTATGGAGGTTCCTCAGAAAGCTAAAAATAGAACTACCCTACGATCCAGCAGTTACACTACTAGGTATTTACCCCAAAAATAGAAAAACACTAATTCAAAGGGATACATACACCCCTGTGTTTATAGCAGCATTATTTAACAATAGCCACATTTATGGAAGCAGCTCAAATGTCCACTGATACATGAATGGATAAAGAAGATGTGGCATACATAGAAACTTTTAGCCATAAAAGTGAATGAAATCTTGTCATTTGCAACGACATGGTTGGAGCTAGAGAGTAGAATGCTGAGTGAAATAAGTCAATCAGGGAAAGACAAATATTGTGTGATTTTAGTCATATGTGGAAATTAAGAAAGCAAATGAGCAAAGGGAAAAAAGAGAGGAGGGCAAACTGAGACACAGACTCTTAACTATAGAGAACACATTGATTGTTTCCAGAGGGGAGGGGGTGGGGGATGGGTGAAATAGGTGATGGTATGAAGGCGTGCACTTGGGCTGAGCACCGGGTGATGTATGGATGTGCTGAATCACTATATCGGACGCCTGAAACCAGTGTGACACTGTATATTAACTCTGGTAGAATTAGAATAAAAACAATCTTCAGATTTTAGGGGTTAAGTCCAATTTGATATTTTACAAAATAGTTGATGTGGAAAGCAGAAAGTAAAAAAAAACCAAAAAACAAATGTGTTGTTATATATCCAAGTATTTGGAGATATTCCTGTTATATTTTTGCGATTTATTTCTGGCTTAGTTTCATTATGGTCGAATATCAGGGAAGCTCGTGAAGATTTGTTTCATGGCCCAGGCACAGTCTCTTTGGGGAATGTCCCATTCATGCTTGGAAAGAACATGGACTCTGCTGTTGGGCGGAGTGTTCTGTGACGTCGCTTGGGCACGCTAGTTCGTGGTGCTGCTCGGCTCTTTGGTGTCCCTGTTCCTTTTCCATCCACTAGCTCTGTTGAGTATTAAGAGTTTCGAAGTCTCAGGGGATGATTTGTAGATTTTTTATTTCTCCTTTCATTTCTGTCAGCTAATGCTTTCAAGTATCTAAAGCACTTTGGTTAGGTACATATTTAGGTTTCTTACGTCATCTTGACAAATTTACCTTTTATCATTATACAGTATCTTTTTTTATGCCTTGCAATTTTCTTGGCTTTGAAGTCTACTCGGACATTAATATAGCCACTCCAGCTTTCTTTTGATGCGTGCTTGCATGGAATGGTCTTCCCATCGTTTAGTCTACTTATACCATTATACCCAAAGTGAGTTCAGTAGCTGTCTTTTTAAAATCTGTTATGTCAGTCTCTATCTTTTAATTAGTATGTTAAGACCTTTCTTTTTTTTTTAATTTTTTGGGAGAGCCTGTGTGCTCACCCACACTTGGGGGAGGGACTTAGAAGGGGGGAGGGAATCCCAAGCAGGCTCCACACTGAGTGTGGACGCAGAACTTGATCTCATGACCTGAGATGGGGGCCCGAGCCCAAGTCAAGAGTCAGACACTTTTACTAAGCCACCCAGGCACCCCAAGATCATTTAAAATTAATTCTATGTTGAATTTAGTTGTACCATTGTATTATTTGTTTTCTGGTGTTCCTTCTCTTTGGTGTTCCTGTTTCTTTCTCCTGCCCTCTTTTGGGTTAGAGTATTTAAAACTTTTTTTGGTACTGGCATTTTAATTTATCCGTTGTGTTTTTACTGTATCGTTCTGTGTAGTTTTTTAATGGTTGCCCTGGGATTACAGTAGACAGACTTTTCACGGTGTTCTTAGAATCTGTGTTTTGCGACTTCAGGTGGAATGTGGAAATGTTAGCACCCCAGAGGCCCCTTTAGCCTTCCTCTTTTATGTTGGGTTGTCCTATGTATCACATCTACACACAAGGGAAACCCAGCGGACCTGTGATGGTTTTTTACTTGGAATTGTCAAACATACTTTAAAGAACTCAGGAGGAGGTTAGCCTATCATGTTGAACCAGATTTTTGTCCTTTCTGTTGCTCTTCCTTCATTCCCAATGTTCTGAATTTCCTTCTGGTGTCATTTCTGTCTGGCGAACTTTATTCGACAGTTCTTTTTTTTTTTTTTTTTTAATGTGTATTTATTTTTGAGACAGACACAGAGTGTGAGTGCGGGAGGGGGAGTGTCAGAGAGAGAGGGAGACACAGGATCCCAACCAGGCTCCAGGCTCTGAGCTGTCAGCACAGAGCCCGACGTGGGGCTCGAACTCACCAACTGCAAGATCGTGACCTGAGCCAAAGTCAGCCACTGAACCGACTGAGCCACCCAGGCTCCCCCTTTACTCGACAGTTCTTTGAGAAGGATCGGTGGGCCTTATGTTCAGGTGTTACAGCTGCATTTTGTTGACCGGGTGGATTCAGAAATTGGGTGGATTGTGCCTTCTCCATCTTCCCCGGATCCAGAACCCTGGTATCGCCTTTCTGATTTCTCTGCTAATACTGTTTCCATTTCATAACTTCAAAATGATTTCTCCGAAGAACTGCAGAAATGGCGGTGCCCTGATTATTACGAGAACAACGTCCACAAGATGCAGCTCCCGTTTTCCAGCAAGCTCCTGGGCAGCACTCTGAGCTCCGAGGAGAAGCAGGAACGGCGGCAGCAGCAGCTGCGGCGCCTGCAGGAGCTCAATGCCCGCCGGCGGGAGGAGAAGCTACAGCTGGACCAGGAGCGGCTGGACAGACTGCTCTGCGTGCAGGTGCTGGCGGGTCCCGCGAGGGGCTCCGGTGTAGGCTCAGCATGGGGGGCCTGTACCCGGTACGCAGCAGCAGGTGTCTCTGGACTTGGCCTCACTCATTTACTCTGGCCTTATAATCTCCTTTGTTTCATAACTTCTTTTTAAAGTTTATTTATTTTTTGGAGAGAGAGAGAGCGCGCGTGAATGTGCAGGCGAGTTGGGGAGGGACAGAGAGAAAGGGAGGCTGAGAATCCCAGGCGGGCTCCACGCCGTCAGCACGGGGCCCAATGCGGGGCTTGAACTCATGAACCCGCAACCTCACGACCTGAAACCAGGAGTCGGATGCTTAACTGACTGGGCCAAGCAGGCATCCTGTTTTACAACTTTTTGATTGAAACGTAGCACACATACTACAAAGTGCACAAGTCTTAAGCGTGTGTATATAGCTCGATGGATTTTCACAACGTGGAACACACCATGTGTCTGCCACCCAGAGCACCTCCAGCATGTCCCCTCTTAGCCAGTTACCTTCCCACCCCACTCAAAAGGTAACATTTCTGACCTCTGTCACCATAGATTAGTTTTTCCGAATCAGGTGGTGCTGAGGCCCTGACGCGATGCAGCCTAGAGACAGCTGGGGAGGAGGGTGGGGTGTGGAGCTCCGGTGGGAGGTGAGATTTTGTGGAGGCGCAGGCTCCGAGCGTTCTGGGAGCCCCCTCCTGCTGTAGTTTCTCTCTGTTCGGCTTCTAAGCTACTTCTCTCTCCTTCCTGTTTGTGAGCGCACTGACATCTTTGAAGTGAATTGTGACCGCTCTGGTTTCAGGAACTTCTAGAGGATGGCCAGATGGATCAGTTTCACAAGGCTCTGATAGAGCTGAACATGGACTCCCCAGAAGAGCTGCAGTCCTACATACAGAAGCTCAGCTCGGCCGTGGAGCAGGCTAAGCAGAAAATCCTTCAAGCAGAAGTCACCCTCGAGGTGGATGTGGTGGACAGCAAGCCAGAGGTACCAAGGGCCTTGGGAGGAGGGTCCCGTAGGGTCATTTAGAGAGGACAGCCCTTCCTGGGGACGGGAGGAGTGTTTTGAGGAGGCTGGCATAAAGAGGTGTGACCAGACTTGGGAAAGCGAAGTGGGTGGGGAGTGCCATCTGTGGGGACACGCGTGCCGACTGAAGTTCTGACCTGAGAGATTTCACCCTGTGGACCTCTGGCCCCCTGGGCGGGAGAACTCTGCATGTAGGGTAGGAAGAGCCTTCGCGGACCGGTCGTGTGGTGCCCTCTTGAACCTGAACCTTCTCCTCCGATGGTTATTTGCAGTCCCTTCCACTTTTTTCTGATGTTTACTTAAGTATATTGTGGTTGATACTTCACTTACTTCCTTTCTGTCTTGACGCCCCCTACTGTTGGAGATCGTGCTTCGTAATCGTTGATGGATTTTTTACAGCAACTGGTAGACGTGCTCAATAAGGTATCTGTGGGTTGGCTTAAGATCAGCCTTTTATTACTAAAACTGAATAAACCATTTGATCTCTGTCTTACCCTTTTTGTGTCCCTGCCAGTGGACTCTTAGCGTTGAGGTGGCCTAAGGCCGGGTGGCAGGGCTGAGATGGGGCCCTGGGTTCTGCACAGTAGCACCGAAATCAGTAGCTGGTTGCCTGTCTTTAGAACTGGAGGAGAGTAGGGGCGCCTGGGTGGCTCAGTTGGTTAAGCGTCCAACTTTGGCTCAGGTCATGATCTCGCGGTTTGTGAGTTCGAGTCCCACGTCGGGCTCTGTGCTGCCAGCTCACAGCCTGGAGCCTGCTTCAGATTCTATGTTTCCCTCTCTCTCTGCCCCTCTCCCACTCACACTCTGTCTCTCTCTCCTTCAAAAATAAACGTTAAAAAAAATTTTTTTAAAGAAAAAAAAAAAACTGGAGGAGAGTGTTAATAAGTGTGTGCATTGTTCCTGAATCTGTCAGCTCTAGAGTTCTGAAACAAAGGACTTGTTCATTGCCTTGTGGCACTTCTGGACCAGGATTAACCAGGCTAGCTTGGTGGGTTTTGTTTTAGTTTTAATATTTATTTATTTTTGAGAGAGAAAGAGAAAGGGAGAGAGGGAGAACAAGCAGGGGAGGGGCAGAGAGAGAGGGAGACATAGAATCCAAAGCAGGCTCCAGGCTCCAAGGGTCAGCACAGAGGCCAACACGGGGCCTGAACTCATGAACTGTGAGATCATGACCTGAGCCGAAGTCAGGCTTAACTGACTGAGCCACTTGGGCGCCCTGGTGGTTTTTGTTTTTAAATCAACTTTCTTTAAATTCTAAAACCTATACTTGTAGAAATGGAAAAATCCAGTTTGGTGCAGGGTGGTGTGGTACTTGCCAGTGACTTGGGAGCTGTCTTTGGCTCAGCGGGGAGCCTGTTCTTGAGATTCCAGCTCTCAGCTGGAGGCTCACTCACATACTTGCTGCGCTCAGCCTCCAGCTCCAGCTCTCCCACAGCTGAGACTCCCGGAGGCCAGCAGCCGGCCAGGGCATGTGTATCAGATAGAGCAGACCCCACGTCAACCTTCCTAGACATGGTTCCCTGGATGGCTGAGGTCCTACTCTGGCGTGGCGTCCCAGGTCAGCCTCACAGCACCCAATGGGGCCTTCCTAGTTCCCCTCTCTGAGAGTTTTCCGGTTGTGCTTCAGATCTCAGCTATTTACTGGGATCCAGACCCGTGTTGCCTTTGTTGTTTGTTCACCCATATTCAGTTTTTGTCATGCCTGACAGGACATCAGCATCTTTATACCACAGATGTGTTGCTGAGCCACTGGCAGGTGGGCAAGGGATTTCAAATTTAAAATGAAAAGCCTGGGTGGTTCAGTCCGTTAAGCATCTGACTTCAGCTCAGGTCATGATCTCACGGTTTGTGAGTTTGTGAGTTTGAGCCCCATGTTGGGCTCTGTGCTAACAGCTGGGAGCCTGGAGCCTGCTTTGGATTCTGTGTCTCTCTTTCTGTCCGCCCCTCCCCTGCTCGTGCTGTCTGTCAAAAATAAAAAACACACATTAAAAAAAAAAATTATAAGATGAAAAGCCCAAATGACTGTAAAATGTGATTCCTGAGCAGTTGGAGACCTAGTTTTTCCTTCTGTTTGTTGATTTTTCTGCATTTGTTACATGCTGTGATTCAGCCCCTCTTTCATGCATTTAGCAGGTATTAATTAAGTCCCTACTTTGTTCTGTGCTCTGGGGATATGTATTCTCGTTCTCTCTGGGCTTGGGGAGATTTTGAGATGTTGGACTTTAGTTTCTCTGTATACAACAAATTTGATGAGTTGATCTGTACCCAAAGCTATGAGGGTCAGTCAGCATTTATTGAAGGTGATTGTTAGTGATTAGGGTCGATTATGTAACTTTCGTGGGATATATGTCCCACGTGACCGCATCACTGGCTGGCTGGTTCTCAAAAAGTATTTGTAGTGTTTTCCAACCATGTAATTCTTTTAGAATGGAGAGAATGGATTTATGTGGAATCAGAGCTCATACTGAAATGCCATCCAAGCAGTAATGCTGTATTGGATTAATTCAGCAAAATTTTTAACTTACAGTGTTTTCTAAAATCCATTTGTCCCCACAGACCAGTCCATTCCAGCCCTTGCTGTTCTGCAGATATTCTGATGAGGGTGTTGTAAAGGAGTAGGCTTTGTCAGCAATCCTAATGAAGTATTTGAAGTAGAGGATGTTGGCTTTCCGTCAGGAGGGGGAGCACAGTTCTAGAGCACATCGCTTGTTGGAGAGCACAATGAGCTTAATATAGAAGGTTCTCTTGCCTGATTAGCCAAGATGAGAGCTAGCCCCTGCTTGTTCCTATGCCACGCAATCAAGACTGTTCCAGGGAACATGCTGCATCTTCTGTGATGTGCTTTGGCAAACTGTCGTTCAGTTCAGTTCCAAAAGAATGCCTATTTGTGTTCCTGAACGCCACACAATACGTGTGGAGACCCTGGCAAACCCTAGAGGGAGAGAAGCCAGCCACAGTGGAGAAATCTGTTCTCTGTTGGAGGCCCGTCGTCCGCTCTGAAATTACTAGCTTTGTTTCTCCGTGAATCGTATGAATTTGGATAAGTAAAATATCTTCGTATCGTTTTATTTTTTTTTAATTACTTATCTTTGAGAGAGCACAAGCGAGGGAGGGGCAGACAGAGGATCTGAAGCGGGCTCTGTGCTCCCGGCTGACAGCAGCGAGCCTGATGTGGGGCTCAAACCCACGGAACGTGAGATCATGGCCTGAGCTGAAGTCGGATGCTCAACCAGCTGAGCCACCCAGGTGCCCCTCTTTTTATCATTTTTAGTGAAGCTTAGAAGTTATCTTTAAGGTAGCATGCTTTTGAATGTAGCTAGGTGAAGGTGGATGATGATATCTTTGCTGTAGCTGGAGAAGCCTTTTGAAACTCGAACATTTTATAATCCTCTGTTCCAGGAAAATTTGAGGGTATCTCCCAGGGGCTGACCGCTCAGTGGTAGGCATGGTATGCCAGGGACTAGTGATGCAGATGCATGGTTCTTGCATTCTTTGGTACCTAAAAAAATAGGGCTATTGAATCACACTTAGTTGACTGTAATAAAGCTTATCTGGTGTCCTGGCAGATGGTGTGGGAATTTAGGTGAAGTTTTTTTTGTTTTGTTTTGTTTTTTAAATATTTATTTATTTATTTATTTTGAGAGAGAGAGAGAGAGAGAGAGAGAGAGAGAGAGAAAGAAAGAATGAATGACTATCCCAGGCAGGCAGCGTGCTGTCAGCACAGAGCCCAGTGTGGAGCTTGATCTCATGAACGGTGAGATCATGACCTGAGCCGAAATCAAGAGTCCGACACTTAACCAACTGAGCCACCCAGGTGCCCCTGATGAAGTTTTAAGAAAGTCTTGGGATATTTGAGCTGGGGCCTGGAAGATGATATGATTTCAGTAGGTAGCAGATGAGGAGGGAAGGACATTATAGACGGAGACAGTTCGACGCCAGGAAGCACGCGTGCAAGGGAGCCCAGTAGGTTTGGTGTACGGTGTGGGTGATGAAGCAGGGAAGTGGGGGTGGGGGGGCAGCCTACAGAGGTCCTTATCAGTCAGCCTGGGTACTATCCTTCCGACAGAGCCTTCGGAGGATGTCTGGCAAGGAACTAATACAAGGAGACTTGATGTTAGGAAGATAACTGCTGGCAGTTAGGATGATGGGTTTGGAGAGAGGTGAGGCTGGAGGCGGGAAGCAGGGTAGAAATGTGTGTGGTAATCCGGGAGAAAGCTCATGGGGGGTGGGAGAGTAGCCATGGGTATGGCGGGTGCAGGAGACACTTCAAGGGTAGCGTCCGGGTGCCTGGGGGGCTCAGTCGGTTAAGCGTCCGATTCTTGATTTCGGCTCAGGTCATGATCTCATGGGTTCATGAGATCGAGCCCCACGTCAGGCTCTGTGCTGCCAGCATGGAGCCTGCTTGAGATTCTCTCTCCCTCTTTTTCTGCCCCTCCCCGCTCACGCACGCACGTGTGTACTCTCTCTCTCTCTCAAATAAATAAACATAAAAAGGTAGCATCCAAGGATCTTGGTGCCATGTAGGGGCAGTGGTGACAGGAGTGGCAGTTGCTGATAATAGAACGTGTGACGTGTGCCAGACCGTGAGCACTTCTGCAGGTGTGGTCTTGATGAGTCTTCGCGGTTGGGTAAGTACTATCGTATTTCCACTTGACAGATGAGGCAGCTGGGGCGCAGGGGTGAAGGAGTCTGCCCGAGGCTGCTTAGCCGGAGGTAGTGCCGCCCATCTTCAGACCCAAGCAGTCCGGTTGCAGGTTCACTCTGGTCACACAGAGGCCATCCTGAAAGGCTGGAGGATATTTGAGCTGGGGCTCAAAGGTGGAGGCAGCCTTGGGGGTTGAGCACCTTGTCTTTAAAGTCTCAGTGGGTCTTCAGGTGGAACTTGCCGGGATCCAGCCAGGTTCCAGAAGGACCTGGAATCGTATGGGGAGTGAGAGAAGAAGGATGCCCGGGTCCACTGATTAGGGGCCCTGGGGTGGAGGAAAAGCTGGGGGAAGAGACTGAGGAAGAGCAGTTTAGAAGAGAGCAGTGGGGGTGGGGGGGGACGGGAGACATGTCAGGCGGCGGGTGGTAGGCTCCACCTGGGAGGGCACAGGAGCGTGAAAGGGCCGGGGAAGAGGTGAAGGGGTGGGATGGAGGTAGGTGGGCAGTGGGCTTTCTGCAGTGCAGGAGGCCATCTGCCGAGGACCGCGAGTGGTGGCCAGAGGGGCCGAGGAGAAGTGCTGGGAGAGGCTGAAGACCCTGCCCCGGGGGACGCACAGGGAAGCTCAAGAGGACGACAGGCCCGCCCGTGGCGGCCTGCGGCTTTCTCACTTCTGCCCACCAGGAGCGCGTTTCCCTCACCTGCCGTCGTGTGGAAAACCACCCCACACTTAGCAGCGTGAAATGATGACCATTGTGTCGTGCTTTTAAGTTTGACGGGTCAGGGGTCCAGAGAGAGCGTAGCAGGGATCTCTGCTCCGTGACGCCCACCTGGGGCCTCCGCTGCGAAGGCTTGGATAGCTGGGGACTGGGACCCCAGAGGGTTTTTCACGTCACTGGCACCTGGGCTAGGGATGTGCTGTGTCAGCGGGAGGGTGGACCTGAGCACCTACACGTGGCCTGAACGTGTGCCTTGGGCTTTTCAGCATGGCAGCTGGCTTCCAGGAGGGAGCTCCCCAAGGGAGAGCAGCCAGAGCACGAATGCTTCAAGAGGTCAAGGGGAAGGAGGCTGTGTGGCCTTTTATGACATCGCATTGGAATGCACGTGACACTGCTTCCACCATACTGTGTTGGTTGGAGCCTCACGGGTCCCTAATAAGATTCAAGGGGAGGAAATAGAACCCACCTCTTCATGGGGAGTGTCGAAGTCCCATTAAGGAAGAGCATGTGGGATGGAAAATACTGTGAGCGTCTTCGAGAAGTACGGTCTACCCTGGAGCAGAAGTGGAAAGAGCACCGGGTGGTGACCTTTAGGCTTCGAGAGTGGCCGCTGGAGCAGCAGAGCAGATAGAGTAGGGGTGGGGGTGGCAGTTGTGATCGGGCTCCAGGTGGGTGGAGGGAGGTGTGCGTGCACAGGGGAGCTCGTCACTGGGAGGTCAGAGAGGTCAGAGGAGTGGAGGTTGGGATGGAGTAGAGGACGACGGAGGTGTGGGGAGTAGAGCGGGAGGTAGGTGAGAGCTCCCTGGAGCTCATTCACTCGTTATTTGGGGGCTGGGGTCCATAGGTTTTGCCTGTAGTTATTTTAAATACACAGGTGCCATCTGTGTGTCTCCAGCCGGGTATACCAGTTATTTAAGGGGCCAAAGTGAGTGCCTGGCTAAAAGAGAAGGACGAACTAACTGTTCTCGGCCCACCGCCGCCCTAGGGTCGTGCCCTGCTTACAGAGGAGGACGAGGCCTCAGACTGCGCCGCTGTGACCTTAAGTAAATCTTTGCCATTCAGAGCGGGATCCATGTGATCTCAAAGCCTCATCTCTTTTCTGCAACAGGCCACTGCTCCTGGTGGCTCATCATCCACAAGCCACACCCAGTGAGAGGGAATTTTCACGATCTGTATCTGACCCTCTGTTGGGACCCCTGAGCTTAGTGCCGAGCTGGAACAGGCACAGGTGCTCCCGGGGTTGGGGCTCCTTTCTGGAAGATGAGAGTCTTGCAGATTCGAGACCGCAGACCTGCGGGGGGAGCATTCCTTCACACACGCTCTGTAGCCCCCGCTGGGGCAGAGAAGCCTGTCTGTCATTCACTCCGCTGGCCTTGCTGCTGCATGTAAAATCTTGGGTTCTCATTCATTCACCATGACCTCAGGTAGATGTTTTCCGTACTCCTCGAGCCTGGCTGTCCTGTCACACTCAGATTCATGATGTATGGAATTTCAGCTGGAGGCAGAGCGAGGACTTTGGAGCGAGCCATCTGTCTTAGGCCAAGTTTCCCCCACTTCCTAGTGTCACGTGATCCTGGGCAAGTCATTTCACCTGCTGAGCCCGTTTCCCCACCCGGGAAGGGTAGTAGTCGTCTCTGCAGGGGGATCGTGCAAGGAGCAGGTTCCCTGCTCCCGGATCGGATGCAGTGTTCAGATGGCTCTTGCCTCCTTCACTGAGGGTGAGGTGCTTAGATTCTTGCCTCCCAGCCCACCCTCTTTCCTCCTTAAATCACCTATTTCCAAACCAGTCCCTCTCTTCCTGTTCTCTAATCTCAAGGGAAGAAGTGTCCTCGTCCTTTCCAAGGTTTACCCTCCCCTTAAATATGGTAGAATCATCTATATTGAATAGAACTTAGGATTCATTGCACCTCGTTCTAGAAGCTATATATGCACGTGACTGTTCTGGTATGTGTTTGCTGGATGAGTGTTGAAGAGCGTTGTTTAAGAGTGAATTTGGATGCTAGTGTACGTTTGAGTATATGTGGCCGTGTTCTAGAGAAGTATGTGTACGTGTTGTGAGTTACGTCGCTAGTTTACATACCTTGCAGACTCCAAGGGTAAGGACAGGCTCACAGGACACTTACTCAACGCAGGGACCTCCCCTCAGGCATGCCAGGCGGGCAGTATTGAGTCAGCTTGCACCCTCCCAAGACACCTTGTGAGACAGTCCTTTCTATAGCAGCTGTCACTGTTAAAACCCTTTTTCGAGGAAGGCGACACAGCATTTTTTCCTGTAACTTCTCCCCCTTGAGTCCAGAGGTAAAACTCCTCTGCCTTTCACATGGCAGAACCACAGATGGCTAGAGATGTCATCTAGAACCGCACTACCGCTGTCCAGATTCCTTGTCCAGGTCCAAGTTACAGTGGGCCCTGAACCTTCTATTGGGAGCGGTGCCAGCGTGCGTAGGCTCCACCCAGGTTCCCTGTGGCTGAAGAGGAAAGCCTGTTTTGTGGGACGCCACAGTTCCGAAGCTGTCACCTCGGGGGCTCTTAGTCACGTCTCCAGCTCAGTGGACTGGCTGTTAAGGGACTGGCTGTTAAGCCCATTAGTGTTGGCAGTCGTATTAAGCAGATCAGAGATTTATTTAATTTTGCTGGTGTCTGGGCCACTTTGTGGGACGCCAGCTCTTGCACCCTGGCCCCCCGAACTGTGCGTGTGGTGCGTGCCTGCCCTCCCCTGGGTCCCGTTTGAGCAGCCCCACCGCAGGGCTTCAGAGAGAAGGTGGGGTCGGGGGGCTGTTGAGGTTTGTGTGAGGTAGGGGACAGGAGCAAAGCCTGTTCCTGGCTTTTTAGGGTTTTAATCCTTGTGTTCACTTGTCTTCCTCTTTTTTTTTTTTTTTAACAGTCTAGAAAATTTTCATCGTTTTTATATCAACTTTTAGGACGTGGAGCGAAACACCAATTCTTGTCCGTGACGGTGAACTGGTAGAGTGAAGGCCTGAAGTTACAGGTGCTGTTTCGTCCTGTTTGTTCTGTCCTTAGACCCCTGACCTGGAGCAGCTCGAGCCGACTCTGGAAGACGTAGAAAGCATCAATGATTTTGAACCCTTGTTTTCGGAGGAAACCCCTGAGGTGGAGAAGCCAGTCGCCACTGTCCAGGTTGGGCTCCGATAACCTGCACCATGTTTCTGCTTTGAAACTGTTGACATAAATGACCAGTCTGGTCTAGTCTGCTTGTTTAGGAATGTTTAAAAAAAAAAAAAAGAATTCCTGTTGTATTTTCTAGGAAGGCGGGAGGTGGGGGTACTAATGCTTACAACTTCTGCAGTCAAAACTTTTCCTGCTGGTTAATGGGGTTCCCGCACTAAGATCTGTGAACCTGTGGGAAACAGTCTGCTTGGCAGAAACATTTAGGCAAGTAATTGAGAAGTTTAGACTTAAAGACTAGCTTTAGTGGTTTCATTTATTTTATTTTTGTTTTAAAGTCTATTTATTTTGAGAGAGAGAGAGAGAGAGCGAGCATGAGTAGGGGAGGGGCAGAGAGAGGGGCGGAGAGAGAGAGAGAGAGAGAGAGAAAGAGAGAGAAAGAAAGAAAGAATCCCCAGCAGGCCCCGCGCTGTTAGCACACAGCCTGACACAGGGCTCGAACTCATGAACCTCGAGATCATGACCTGAGCCGAAACCAAGGGTCAGACGCTTAACCACTTAACGACTGAGTCATCCAGGTGCCCTATGGTTTCATATACATTTAAGCCAGCGTCATTGTGCTTAATCCTCATTTGGGCCTACGTTTCTGTCATTGCAATGGCAACCAGACAGCCTGACCCGAGTCTGGGGCTCACCTGGGAGAAAACTTCCTGCTGCTGCTCTTCTTGAGGTCTCTTTTCTTGCAACGCAGGGACCATTTCATGATGCAAAGTTGTAGGTATTTGTGATTCAGAAGTGGAAGAAAGGTAGAAAATGGAATTAGTGTATCAGGAGAGCTGGGGAGAGGTTGTTGTGGCACGAACAAAGGACAGAAGCTATGTTGGAATAAGAAGTGCGGTTTGAGGGAACTGGCAACTGGAATGTTTGTCACTGTGGCCTAAAAATATCTTCTAAACCTTGGGTTTTTAAAGCCCGTGTTTAACTTGGCAGCCTATCATCAGCTGTTTGTTGGGACAGAAAGAATTCGGGCTCCAGAAATTATCTTCCAGCCGTCTCTCATCGGGGAAGAGCAGGCGGGGGTCGCAGAGACCCTTCAGTACATCCTGGACAGGTGAGGCTGGTCCTTCTTTGCCTTAGATTTACCGGAACCGTTTCCTTGGATTTTGCACTGAATGATAGATGAGATGGGTCGGGCATTTGAAAATGTGCCTCATGTCCTCCTTTTCATTGACTTGCTGTGCTCAGATGGTATTCTTTCTCTCTCCCCAGCCCCGGCACAGAGGAAGGACTCTGTAATTCTTTTCTGAACATGTAAAATGCTCAGTTGATTTGAGGAGCTTTAAGAAATTCTTTTATGTTTCAGCAACAATAACATATGTGCGTTGGTTTTCGTATAAACCTTGACGTTATTGAAGATGAGCGATTTTTAAGTGCCCTAAATATGTGCAGAGCCTATAAAAGTTTTCTCCCCCTTGCAGACATTGTATTTAAGAGTTTGCAGTTCTGTAAAATGCTCCTCCCTATCCCATTTCTACAGGCGTTTTCCTGCAGTGCGAGTTTTCATAGTTCAAGCTGGACAAGCCGAGAGCATGATTTGTAGTACTCTGGCTACCCTTGGTTGAAAGAGGGTGAAAACTGTCACCTGGCAAGGAAGGAAACTATGGCAGCCACTTTGTTGGAGTGGCTTTAAGCTTTGTCGTAACAAGAAAGTGCTCGAACATGTATAAGATGAAGCTATTATATTTTTTATTTTTTTTTAAATAAGCACATAGGTAGAAAGATGGGCTTTTTGGGGTGATGGAACTGTTCTGTATCTTGTGATAGTTACTAGGATGTATAGATTTATCAGACCTCATCGAAACGTTTGTAAATCAGTCCTCCATAAAGTCACTTTTTAAAAAACGTGTCAAGGCACAAAACTTCTAATCCTGCTAAGGAAATGAATTCTATAAAGTCGTAAGTGAAAAATGCCGGGTGTTTTTTTGTTTCTTTAAACACTTTCTGTGCAGATGTTTTCTTTTTTGTGCCAAGGGTTTATATTTCTACGTTTGCATTCTCCCCTGAGCTTCAAGTTGGTAGGAGTATACCGGAAGGAACTGTCTCTCTCCTAGGTACTCCAAGGACGTTCAGGACATGCTGGTTCAGAACGTTTTCCTCACCGGTGGGAACATGATGTACCCTGGGATGAAAGGTAGAATCGAGAAGGAGCTGTTGGAGATGAGGCCCTTTCAGTCTTCTTTTAAGGTACTGGTTGTTTATGTAACCGGCTGTTTCGTAAATAGCATTAGTGTTTTCTGATAGCAGAAGTAATAAACAGTAGTTTAGAGGAGGAGAATTACTTTCTAATTCCATCATCCACAAATATCCACTGTTAACATTTTTGTGGCTTTCCTTCTGGTCTTTGATATATGTTGAATTGTTAAAGCAGAATGGGAATCATGTTTTTAATATTTCTCTCTCTTTTTTTTTTTTAACTGAAAAAAGACATACGATCTAATAAAATTCAGAGAATACAGTCAGTACCCACTAAAAATAGTCATTCTCTTCACCCATCCCTTATTCTACAGGCAAAGCTTCTCTTTCACAGATTCTCTATACTTGAGGGTAACCTGTCTTGTAACCTACGTTTCTTTAACCCACCATGAGCGTTTCCTGACGTCATTCTTCCAAAGTACTATTTTAAAAAATTTTTTATTCTATGGTGTGGATGTCCCATAACGTATCTAGTGAATCTCTGATCGTTGAGAAACATGGTCTGAGCCCCCATCGAGGACCAGGCACCTTGCAGATGCCGACGTGTCCTAGACACGGCCCTTAGCTGCTAGGAACTTGCTACCAGAGGGACAGAAGCTGACTAAATAGGCCATGATAGCCCAGAACATGATGGACGTTCAGGCATGGGCACCTGTCAGTCTTGGAGGTCAGGAAAGGCTCCATGGAAATGAGTTCTTCCTAGGATGAGGAGGTGTTCTCCATATAGACACTGGAGAGGGGTGGGATGGAGGGAGCATTGCAGACCGCGATCAGCATGAGCAAAGGCTCAGGGGCCCGAGGCCGCCTGAGGGCATAAGCTGCAGCTGAGCGTGGCTGGAGCATTGGGCTGCTAAAGAGGAGTGGAGAGGGGTGTGGTGGAGAGCCATGCAGAGCCCACGCGTCCTGCTGAGAGGTGGCCTTGGTCCCCTGTGCTGCATGATGTATTACACAGTCACGGCGTGGGTTTTGGGCTTTGGTCCCTACTCCATCATCTCCATTACTGAATTTTGCCACGCCTTTGTTTTCTCCCTGGTACAAAGAGGTAATCCTACCTCCGGTTTGCAGGATTCAGTGTGCTGGTGCAGGTCAAGTGCTCAGCATAGGGCCTGCACAAAACGAACACTCAGACCTTAACTGTTGTAGGGGGCAGCGGGGTAGGGGAGGGCTCCCTGGGATCATTCCAGGTTCCATGATTGGCTAGGGCTCACAGGAATCCACATATAATCATACTCCTGGCTATGACTGGAAAGGAAACAAAGCAAAATCAGTAAGGAGAAAAGGTGCACGGGGGGAAGTGCAGGGGAATGAACGCAGGTGCAAGCTCCCAGAGTCCTCACCCGGTGAAGTCGCACAGGGCACATTGAATTCTCCCCAGCAACGAGCTGTGACAACTTACGTGGAATGTCACCAACCAGTGAAGTTCGTGAGAGACTCAGTGTCCAAGGTTTTCACCGGGGGCTGATCGTGTAGGCACCCCCGTGGGGCACGTACCCAAATTTCCAGACTCACAGAAGGAAGCAGGTGTTCAGCATAAAGCACATTCAGACATCGGGAGCACTGAGCTGCTTTCACGAGTCTCCTGAAATCCAGGTCCCCGGGTGCCAGCCAGGGGCGGCCTCGGAAGCAGTCAGGCCTGTGGGTCAACTTTCCTGCATAGCTGTTGTTACTGTTAGGCCACATGGGACCGAGAAGGAGTCTAAGCATGGGAATTGTTTCCTTCGGTTTGAATTTAGGAACATACTTTTGACTGATGTGGAAAATGGGAGAATCAGGAGAAATATCGGAAGCAGGGGAACAGTTAGGCAGCAACTCCTGGGCTTTACGGTGGAGTCCTCACTCCTCACCACAGTCTGCAGTGTCTCCTGTGATCTGACCTTGAATCACTCTCCCTGCCACCCTCTACTTTGTTCCCCAGTAAGCCATGTTTTCTTGCCTCAGGGCGTTTGCACTTGCTCAGTCCCTTTGCCTGGAACACTCCATCTCAGTCCAGTGTCCCACGGCTGGCTTACATGTCACTTCCTCCAGAAGCCTTCCCTGTCCTTAACTGTACTCCTTACTAGGCCCACCTGCATTAGGGAAGAACAGACTGTCCTGTGAACTGTCGTGTGCCGGGCCTTGGCTCGGTGTCATTGGTAGCTGTGCAGGAAACATGCAGCAGGCATCAGGAGAGAGCAGGGGGACGTTGATGTGGCAGAGGTGAGGGGGGTGAGCTGAGTAACGGGCCAGATTTGGGGGAGAGAAGGGTGGGACCCAAGACAACCCCCAGGTTCTGAGTTGGGTAGCTGATGGGATACAGATGACCTCCTGGACTGGGGAATGGGAGAGGGAGAGCAGGCCAGAGGGTGGATAAGGAGTTCCACTCCTGCGGCGGGTAGAGTGGAGTTTCCGGGGGAATGTCCAGGAAGCAGTGACTCCTAGCCAGCTGCCGAGTGCTCGAAAGAGCGGCGGGAGGGTGGACGCAGAGCTCCTAGCGTAACCGTGTCTTTAGAGGGCGCTGTTGGGAGGCTGGGTGATGTCCATGGTTAGGCCTTACATGACACCAGCATTTAAGGGCCTCGGAAGGGTGGGGGTGCCCAGACCGTGGGGGTAATGGCGCAGAGGGTGGGTGTGGGTGTGCGCCAGTGGCCGTGACTTGTGATGACAGAACTGAGCACACGTCGTATTACTGGATTTTTAAGCTCTATATCTTGATCTTCGTGAAAGCCTTTCCCGTGAATTACTCTGTGAACATTCGTTGTAGGAATGCTGCCAGGACTCCCTTCCAGCTGTCCGTCAGCTGGTTCGGTCTCCTGTGGCACAACCCCATCTTCCGTCTCTTCCTCCTGTCCTGCTCCTTTGCAGCTGCTGATGTAACAAGTGTGCGTCATGTCAGAACTACCCCTGATCTTCAAAATTTAGGTTACGTATTCAGCAGTGGCTCAAACATGAACCATTTAAGACCCTAAATGTGTACTTTTGCATACTTTAAGTTTCTTTTGGTTCTTTCTCCTCCCTCCTCGTCCCTCCTCGTCCCTCCTCGTCCCTCCTCCTCCCTCCTCCTCCCTCCTCCCCCCTCTTCCCCCCTCTTCCCCCCTCCTCCCTTCTTTTCCCTTCTCTTCCCTTCTCTTCCTTCCTCCTCCCTTCTTTCTCTCACCTTCCTCCCTCTTTCCTCCCTCCTCCTTTCTTCTTTTGAGAGAGAAAGAGTGTGTAAAAGGAGGGGAGGGGGAGAGTGAGGGAATCTTAATTAGGCTCCGTGTCCATCGCCAGGCCCGACCTCACGACCCTGAGATTATGACCTGAGCTGAAATCAGGAGTCGGATGCTTAACTGACAGAGCCATCCGGGCGCCCCAGTTTTTTCTTATTTAACAGCAAAACATTTTAAATCCAACTGTAGTAGTGTTTTAAAAGTTACATGAACTTTTAAACGTGTATGATTTTAAATAAAAAAAGAGAATGTCGATGGCTTATTTTGTGACCTGTATTTTTTTTTTAACTTCTTAAATTACCGTTCTGCTGTGTCAGTAGGTACACGTTCGAAGCCTCTTTTGTATGGCTGTATCGTATTCCATTGTTATATTCGTGTATCTGACTGCTTTTTCACTGGTAATAACAAAAGCCACTGGTTGTCACTCACTACTCAGCCGGTGCCAGGAGTGTCCCCCTGCTAGTGCTTGTCTCTCAGTGAGTTTCTGGCCAGAGTGCAGGGTCCTTGTTACCCGCGTTTATTCGCGGTCTCTTATCGCAAGTCCCTCCCACGGCAGCCCCGTCCATCAGCCTCCTGACTTTGGTGTTTATGTGCTTCATCCGCCTCCATCTGTGCCCGCCGATCGCACGCCGTGTCGCCTGCCTGTTACTTCAGAAAGTTCTGAACCCACCATCCTAACCCCGGGCTCCTGGGTTGGGGGAGGGAGGGGGGAAGGAGGCGGGAAGTCAGGTAGAGACTCCGGGAAGCAGGAAGCCCGATTCGAGCTACAGAGGCTGTTCCCCACTCTGGTCGGGTCAGCCTCGTCCAGGGGCCCCCACGGGGCCGCTGACCTCAGCCTCGCTGTGACACTAGGCCGCGGAAAGAGCACTGGCCGCGTCCTGGAGAACGCGCCAGGTGCTGCTCTTCGGTCTCCAATCCGAGGCTTGTCTGCCGCCGAGGCTAGAGCCGCCTCGCATCAGCCTCCGCTGCCCTCCGCTTGTGGACAGCGCGGGAGCAGGGGCGGGGCAGCTGGGCCCTCTCTGACCCAGCGCGGGCCTGGCGTTTGTAAAATAGTTGCCGACCGTGGATTGAGGTCGAGTCTGGTGTGCCCTGCGCTCCTGTGTGCTCTCTCGGAACGTCCGCGGCGTCTAGGCTCGGCCGTGTTTGGAGGGTGGGGGCCGTCCCGCGCGTGTGTTTCCGGGGATGCCACGGAGGGGGCTGCAGCCGCGCCTGTGCACCCTCACTCCTCAAGCCCTCTGCTGAGCGCTGTTTGTGTTTCAGGTTCAGCTTGCCTCCAACCCGGTGCTGGACGCTTGGTACGGCGCTCGGGACTGGGCCTTGGATCACCTGGATGATGACGAGGTCTGGATCACCAGGAAGGAGTATGAAGAGAAGGGAGGAGAGTACCTCAAGGAGCACTGCGCGTCCAACATCTATGTCCCCATCCGCCTGCCCAAGCAGGCCTCACGCTTCTCAGACGCCCAGGCCCCCGGCAAAGGCTCGGGGGCCAGTGGAGGCGGCGCTGGCGAACAGGCTTAGCAGGGGCCCTCTGGGACCCGGGGCCGTGTCGGCCAGCATGATGGTCGGCGGCTGTGCCAGCTGTTGTCCACTCTGAGCCCTCTGGTAGTGCTGGGGTGCAAGCACTGGGGAGAGCAGTGAAGGGACACTGGGAGTTACTCTTGGAACTGCATTCACTTGGGGCTCCTGCAACGAAGAGACTTTATGTGACCTTCTGGTGTCTTCGCTGAACCACGGATGAGCTGTGGCATCGGCTTTCCGCAGCAGTAAATGAAGACCGGGTGGAGGACAGCGATGTACAAAATGTAAAAATTGTATTTCTTCATTTCAAAAACATCTTTTTTTAAGAAAATCCCTAAAAAAAAAAAATCCTTTAAAATTCATACTATCAGTGTAGATGTTCTTCTGACTTTATTCAGAATCGTGTGAACGCCCAGTAGGTGGAGGCCTTTCGCACATGTACAAAAAATGGTGATGTTGGTGTGACGAAAGCAGTCACCCACGAAATCTCAGGATCCTGGATTTAGGGTGGGCCCTCCATCCAGTGACTGGTGTCCTTGTATAAGAAATGACACAGGGGAGAAGGCCATGCGAAGACAGAGGCGGAGACTGGAGTAAGGTGGCCACAAGCCAGGGAACGCCAGAAGCCACCAGAAGCTGGAAGAGGCAAGGAAGGATTCTCCCCTTTCATAGGGAGTATGGCCCGGATGACCCCTTGATCTGGGTGTCACCGATGCAGAACTGGGAAAAGATAAATTTCTGTTGCTTTAGCCACCACGTTTGTGATCATTGGTTACAGAAACAGATGTCCAGGTTGAGTCTGGGAAGGAATCTGAAATATGGGTGGGAAGTTTTTAAGCCATAAGGAAGCAGATAAGTTGCCCACAAGATAGAGGATTCTTAGAAGGAATAGGGAGGAGGGTTTGGAAAGGGCACAAGACCAGAGCTGACGGTCCTGGAGAGGATCCCCTTCTGGGGATGAGGGAGGCCCCGAGGCAGCCCGAGGTGGTATAGGGGGAAGCACAGAAGGGGCTGGCGCTCCGAGACTTACTTACTACAGCCAACAGAGGATCAGAGGAAGCTTGGCCACGCAGCCGTGCCGAGTACCGCAGAATGCCTCGCTGCAGCGCCTGGAGGGGGAGCCCCCGAGAGACTTGGAGACCCGCCCAGACCCTCTCCCTGCTCTGCTCCTTACCCGTATCCTCCAGCTGAGAGTTGCTCAGGTGAACCTAACACGCTCGACTGTGAACATTAGTAACACTGCAGCATCCTAATGGGGATCTGCGAGAAAAGACCAAATCCAGAAAATTCGAAGTCAAACTTGTTAGCAGAAAACACTGAGGGAAAAGAAGCCAGAGGAAAATTGCAGTGCGGCATTCTGACATGAATTAAATAATTAGGTAAGCACATATAGTCGGGAGGGGGCCACAACAGAAATGGAGAGCTTTGGGTAGAAATGACCAGACGGATGTGAGATGGGAACTGACAGGACCCAGGAAAGGAACTGAATAAAACCGAAAAATGCTCTCCGAAACCTAAATCCAAGATGCTCAAGGGGGGAGATACTCACCCGGAAAGAAAGAAAACGAAATAACCAAATGAGAGAGAATTAAGAGAAAGTTACAGATAAGGCAAAGGAACCTGAATCAAGCGGAACATAGGTGAAGAAAATTTGACTGTGTTGAATTTTATATTGTAAAGGAAGAAGAGAAACAGTGGAACGAAATTCATGTTTAAAGGGTAATTGAATAATACTTTACCCCTTAAGAGAAAACGTTCTGAATAGAAGTACTGCAGAGACATGCTGTGTACATGCTCGGGAAAACTGGCTCAGAAGTGCCAACTCTAAGAAAATCCTAGCCAAATAAGTCCTCTGGGCCTTCAGGCGAAAAGACAAAGTGATTTGCACTATAAAGGAAAATTAGGTGTCATCAGACTTTCTAAAGGCACTGTATAACACTAGGGAGTTGGCAAAAGAAATTGAATAATGATAAAATGAAAATGGTAAAATAAGCTTATTTGAAAAAAACCCACAATAACATTTAAGAAATACTACAAAACCCGCTAGCAAAAGACCAACAAAAATTTAGTGGAACGAATAAAGAACAAATACATGAAATAAGGAAATAATCCTAAAGCAAGAAAAATCAGAACTGTGGGACAAGTCTTTGCAAATACATTTGAAAATATAGATAAAATCATCATATTTTAGGCAAATATCATTTACCAGGACTGACCCTGATAGAGATCTATAAAGTTTGGAAAGACCCATTTCCATACAGAAACTAAAGACCATTGTCACAGAGCTGCCCCCTCAAAAAGGCTCCTGATCCAGTTACGTTCACAGAATTCTATTAGCCTTTAAAGAACAGATCCTTCCAATGTCCCTTAAACTTTTCAGAGCATAGAAAACAAAAGAAATTCTCTACTACATTATTTTTAGGCATAACTTCTATCCAAATCTGATTGCGTGCACACACACACAGACCCACCATAGCCCAGCCTCCCTTAAAAATATCAGTGAAGTAAACACAAGTCAGTTATTTACAAACGGAATCCATCAGCACATGAAAGGATGATACATGGTGACCAAGTGGTTTTTACTCCGGGAATGCAAGCGTAGCCACCAAATACCGAAAACCTCAGAGTCTTCACACAAGGTGTATTTCGTATGCTGTGTGTCCAGTGAATGTCAGCATGTGCGTGTGGGCTGGGGGTGGGGGGCATGCACTGTCCCACAGAATCATTGCACGCCATCTTGGGATTCTGCCATCTCAACGCAAAGGAAGGAACCAGGAACATCAGGAGTCCGGTCCCGGCTCCGAAATGCTTCCACCAAGAACTGACATTATGTATAGCACACCTACTCAAGATTTCTTTCATTGGCCAGAGCACATAATTTAGCCCTGTGTGATTTAGCATTCCATTTTATCTCCTCTGACTAGTTATGTCTCTGTCATTTTTGAAAGGTGATCTAGAAGTTACAGTGTACATGCTTAGCTTATCATAGTCTGCCATTACTTAATTCTAGAACACTTCACCTACAGTGTAAGAATGTTGTCACATAGAACTCCATTTTTCACATTGGAGATTTGCTGTTGGTATCATGTGCTTTGCTATTCACTTATGGTGTAAACCCCATAACATGTTTTTAATTTTTTAAATTTAGTCGGTAGTCTTGGAGAAATCTAGAAAAATAGATCACCTGCATGTTGACTCTTACTGGTCAAGAAACTGATGGCGGGGGGGAGGCTTCCTTGGCTTCAGTACTTGCACATTCTTCTCAGGAAATGCCACAGGACGGGCGGAGGCTTCCTTCTGGGAGGAAGATTTTGGAAACCATCTAGAAGAAGTGTACTGGGATTCTCCCCATAGCCATTCTCCAACCTGGACAACAAGAGTTGTCTGGAAGATGCATTCACCTGCTTGGTTCTTTCCAGCCTGAGTAACATTTTGTTGAACAGTTGGCTGGGAGGGGGCTGTATTGGATCCTGCCAGCCCTCTCCCAGCCTGGACAACCATCTGGGGATTGCCCGGGAGCCAAGTTGATGGGCATTCCTCAGTCTAGACGAACCTCTGGAAACTCTTCAACTTTAGTTTGGGAGGAGGAGTTTACTTGATGATCCTTCCCCACCTTGGAACACCAGCAATTCTTTGGACTGGGTCAAATAGAAGTGTTAAATCTAGAAGGCGTTATCCTTGCCAGCAAATGTCCATGCCCTCGCCAGTATTTACAGTAAAGGATGTTCCAAGAGTATGAACTGAGGAAGTCTTTTTGTTGATAGCGGTCCTGTCAGGCTTTGTCATAGGCCTTCCCGTCAGCCATTGTGAAAAGGCACACCCAGTTGCTAAAGTACACAAATAAGAACCTGAATAAAACCGAAACATTTACAAAGACTCCCAGTCGGTCCGCCCCCCCCAGGAGGAGGAGAATCTAGCCTCTTCTTGGCAGCTCTCCCCACATTCTGGGTCTGACAGTAGGGAAGCTCTTCCAAGATTATTGAGGTAGCTGGGAAGTCTGGGGACCTGCCAATTACACCCAGTTCATCCTGGCATCCCCTCTGCGTGGTGAGCCTTGGGTTTTGGACATAGGATGAGCAAACAGATCTGTGGTGCCCCCACTTGGGGGCGCACCAAAGGTGAAGTGGATGCAGAATATCCCGAAGCCTCTTTTCTGAATTTGGGACTGATGTTGGAGAAGGACCAGAATGAAAAGAGCTTCCAGAGAGTCTGCTTGGGTGAAGAAGATAAAAGCAGGGGGTGGCCGGGGAAGGTGACGTTCCTGGGCCTTGGCCCTTTGTGAGCTCGGGGAGCAGAGTTGGCAAACTCCCCGAAGCTCTTTTCCTTTCCGTCTTCTGAGTTCCCAGGCCTGCTCAAGGCTCGACCTTGAGAATGAAGATCTTCCTCATTGGCAATTTCTAGGGAAGAGACTCTCAGAAAGAAGGAGGCGGTCCCTCTTCCCCCTGAAAGTTTGGAAAAGCAGGCACTCTCCTGAGAGCAGCAGAAAGCTGTTTCAAAGAGCCCGTTCAGATAAAATGTGGGACTCTCCTCCTGCTCTGACTTTGGCTGCAAATGTTATTTGTAACAAAGGACTCTCTTAAGTCATCTGGGTTTCGGAGAAATGTAATCGTGCTGTAAAAATAAAGCTTCAAAAAGGTTGGTATCTTTAAAAATTAAAAAAAAAATGTAATTGGTAGCTTTGCTTAATTATATATTGCCCAAATAATAGCATTTCATTGGACATATCTCTGCTTAAAAATGAAGGTAAAACTATTTGTCCATTGTATTTGCAATTTCCCTCTTCTTCTTTCTCCTCTATGACTTTGAATTAACAATACACGCTTTGTATATTTGGCTTTGGAACTGTGTGTATGTTACATGCAGTTATAAAACAAACCAACTTTTTATTCACCATGTGAGCACAATCCTTAAAAATCAAAAGCAGAGTGGCACAAGTGAACCTCATTATCAAGTTGGCAGCTTACTTACACAGAGGGGTCTTAGTTTTATGTCTTGAATGAGGTGACTTTAATTAGGTGATTTTATTTTAAGTGACTTTATTCACAGCAATGAAGAAAAAAAGTCCAGTAAGTGAATGTACATCTTTAGTGGGATATAGTCTAAGAACAAAACAACTGTAAGCAAATCTTGCTGTTTTCAGCAATTATGTTGTTAGTAATGGCATTAGTATGGCTATTCTGAAGATATGAATATATATATACACACATATGTATACATATATATACACACATATATATGTGTATATATACATATATACATATGTGTATATATGCATACATATATATGCAAATCATTATGTTAATGTTGTTAGAAACCAACATTTCCAGCCTAACAGACCAGAGATAAAAATATAAAATCAAAAATTAAAAGTCCTATAATCCTGAATTTGGATCACAAGTATCAGAGCACATGATGTATTTTCTCTCCGAACATAGTACCGTCTTACTTGAAATAGGATCTAGAAATAATGAACAACCCAGTATCAAGGAACACCCCCAGTGTGGCTTCCCATTAAAAGGAACCAGGGCTCATTAAAAGGCACTGTTTCTTATTAAAAGGAACCAGGGCTCCTTGGAGAAATGACTGCTTCCCGTTCTGGGGCAGGAATTATACAAGATGAACCTGGAAAAGCTTGTTGCATCAGAAAGCAAGGAAACTATCAAAGATTCCCAAAGACTCCCGGGTCGTCTTGAAAGAACCCAGGAGCTAACTTGAAGTGGCTCCCACTGGCCAAGGAATGAGATCGTTGGAGCATCAGAAAGAATACAAACGAAGG